AGAACGAGTAAAACAAGCGTATTACGACGAAGAGGACGATTCGAGTTGGAGTTCGGGCATGGAGCTGTAGCTCATGGGGCAGCATCTACCATGTTAACGCAAATAAAAGAATCACCTTACAAACCACCGAAACAGAGACATTTTGAGATTCAGTTGGAGGAAGGACTAAAAGAAGCATTATGCGGATATGCATGGCGCTATCTTGGAAGAACGCTCTGTAAGAATCACAAGCCTATGGAGACTTAAATGATAGAACTTGAAGAGTATTTACAGAAAGTCTATAACAATTGAGAGCACTGGCGATGATAAGCTGTTGACCGCTGCCTATTTAAGCATGAGGTCTAGTACGGTCTCCTCATTTTTACTTCATTGGCATCGGGAAGTGCTGGTTCACTCCACACCATGCTGCGGCCATCAAAGGATTCCCAGCGCAAGAAGTCACAAAGAGGAAGGTCCGAGGATTCTGGCAAAGAAAACCTGGAAGATACCTCACGAGTGGATGCCGGGGCAGACAATCGCACATTCGGGCAAATCATTGGCGTTAACATTCCACCCATGATAGATGAAAGACTGACAGAAGTGTACAGAAAGCTAACCGACACCACACCTCTGCCGCGATTCTTCGACTATGGGCATATGTTTGAGTGAGTCTCCGAGTCAGGGAACTTACCAAGAGATGGAGATCTCCTCTTACAGAAATTACGTATGGCGCGCTGTTTTCTTGACCAGCTTCACGCTTGGTATTCGATTTGGAAACTTGGATGTAGTCAGCTATGTGTTTCTGATATTTGGCAAATATCTCATTTTCCTCCTTACTTATATGGTCATACCGCCGTTTATGATTTACATGAGTAAACGTATGCAGGTGAGCAGGTCAACGCGATCTAAGGTCAATAAGTGGCAAGATTTCCAGAAAGAATTAACCATACACGAACAAAGAATAGTCCTAATCGTTGTCTCAGCACAGCTCGGAGTCTATAGCAGTGTTATTAATCAGCATTATGTGATCACAGACACTGCAGCACCGTCATACTTTCTTCCGGGTCTGGTTGGACTGACTGTGCAAGTGAGACATCTCAAAATTGTCGTTAGGCGAAGTCGTGCCCGTGCCAGTGTTGTGCCAGGGCCATTTTAATGACGTGGCGCCCTGTAGATCGATCGCAGTTCCGGCATGACACTGGAACCGCGCTGACACTGAGCTGGAACGGTGCTGGCACTGCGCCGGAACAACATGGCACTGAGCTGGAACAGCGCTGACACTAACTTGGAACGGCACCGGCACGGAAAACTCTAGACGCCTCCAGCGATTATAGTTTCTCATTCCAGCTTGTCGGTCCCCGCTTTGGTCATAACCGCGTCCAATTCCTGGCTGTCTCTGTTGGTTCGGCCTTCGCAGCCGGGCTGGTACTTATGGCTGTTTTCCACGATATCTCATTCGCAGCCTTGATAGGATTGATTATATCGGCAGTATGCGCGACGATCAATCTTCAGCTGATGGTCTATTCTATCAGACAAGGTTCGCAAAACTCATGCACTTTCACATGATGCAAGAACATTTTTCAGGTGGAATTGACATAATGGGTGGTCATATCACTGCGGTTATGATGGCTGTCTATATGCACCTCGTCTTCAGTCGACTTTTTGGAGAGTATTCCGAAGAAGAGAAATCGACCCCGTCAGTGACAAAGCCGCTGCTGTACTCATGATCAGAATAAAACGACAAATTAGCTTACCTTGTCACATTTCAAAATCTCCTCTGGTATCGAGAATGACGTGCCCACTCGCTTCTTCAATTTTGGCATGTCTTCGCCAGGCTTGAGCGTATTTTGGATTTCCTCTGGCATTTCTCCTGTGATTTCCTGTAACAAGGAAAAATGATCTCTCATGCCAGCGCTCTCCGATATATGATGCAACAAATCGCCCTCAAACGAAAAAAAGGAATTGCAAAGGGGTTATACGCCCTACACACCATAGTACATGTAAGGTCTTGCAACTGCACTTACTAAGAAAAGAGACAAGATTACATGAGTAATGCTTGAGCCACGCCGTCGAGACTAATTTAGTAAGCTAAAGAACAAAAAAGCTTTCTTCAAAAAGTACTATGACATTAGCGGGAACTTTAAAAGAATTGATGGCCCCGCACTGCCATGATATTAGCGCGAAAACCCTGGAAGCAAAAGTATGACCCTCAAAAAAGCAAAAAAAAAGCACAGCAATCTATTCCATACCGTAAAAATTGGAGGAAAGAACGTGACATAACAGCTGTCGAATCAAAAAGATGAAAAACTAGCGCCTAGTTCCATTTCCAAAGAAAGCCGAGAGATCTCCGAAGAAATTCGTCCTCAAAGAAAGAATGACATGCTTACTGCTGTGATTATAAGAATCTACACTTTTATTATTCAATCCCGTCATGAGACTTTCTCACATGTGTCAAACAAACTGTGATTCAAAGCTTAATTCAAAAGAAAACACTTCCAGTCATAACTCCATCTTGGCTCTCTCAAAAAAAGGTGTGGTGGTGTAATTAGCTTGTGAGAAAGCAGTCATCAGGGTAGCATAAAGACTTTGAGTTTACTCGGAAGTAAGTTGACAAGCAACCTGGTGTCACAAATTTGGCATCGGTGGAGTTATTGAGAAAGTTGCACCCAATAAAACTAGTTTTGAACAAACTATCACAGCAAAAAAACGCAAAAAATGCCCTTTTTATCGGTTTCTCCACTCTCAAATCCTTGCTCCCAAGAAAAAACTGTAACTACGAGTCTGAAGCTTGCGTAAACAATTTACGACGTTGTTAGTGAAAGACAAAATTCCAAGCCTCTGAAGCTAAGGGTGGAATTCAAAACTGGTTGATGACCGAAGATGAGCGTTTGTAAATCAGATCAAAAATAATTTTGGACAGAAGTCAAGAGTGCAGCAGGATACGAATCTTGAAGGTGAACATGCTTACTGAGATTTTTTCAAAATCTCGGAGAGGCAGTAAAGCGAAACATAAACATGAGGTTGTGATTGTTTTTGCATCAAAAATATGTTTTTCAAATTCTTTTTGAAAAGGAACGGAGAATTACAATGTTCCATGTAATCCGCACATTTAGAGGTCAGGAGCCTAAGAGAATGGCAAAACATACATATTGAGACATGTTATTGTAGAACAGAATACGAAGTATGTGCCATACGAGTGATTTTTCGCAAATAAGTACAAATTTCACATGATTCGGTTTTGAATTCGTTCAAGAAAAACTATCATTGTCACTATAATCAATTCAGATAACTATCACGATCTTCCAATACAAGCTCGTTAAAGACACTGAGTTTGGAAAATTATGGCTCCATAAGTCAGAAGCGAAACTAGTTTCTTGCATTACTCTTTATAGCAATATGTGTGACAGAAAGTCAGGTTATCTGCGGGAAGACCACTTGCGTTTCTTTAGCCTCCAATCTATCGCAGAAAAGATAGAAAAGATTGCAGGTACTTCAAAGATTTTCGTGCGTCCGTCACTGAGTCAATGTTTAGTCACCAGCTATAGTCACTATAGCTAACAAGAGTTGTACACTACAGTTGCACAATCCCAGTCTCCTAGTTTGGACAAATCGAGGAATATTCACCAAATGTTAATAAAAGTTCAGAAGAACTCTGGGAAACACACGACAGCCTTGTATTCTAGTGGGATGACTTACTGATTCTATAAAGACGGAAAAGCTTTCCAACGTGAAATATGATTTCTATACTAACTTAAGATTTCAAGGAACCTAACTAAGCAGAAGTGAGCACTCACCCCTTCCCGTAAACATATCGCCCGCAGCTCATTCAGTCTTGCTCTGAGCAGCTCCTCCAATTCGGCTTTTCTTTGTCGAAGGACTTTATAGAGCTCGATATCACGCTGTCGGTCCTCACCGCTTTTTTCTGCAAAGCAAAAACTCAGCCGGTCTCGAAG